GAGCAGAAATTTAAGATTGACAACGATTTTTAAAAAAAGGACTCCAAACTATACATACGTAACATTATAACATTTGGGGCTTAACCGAGTTACATGTTCTCCTGAAAGATGTTACAGTACTTGTTTATTGTCCATCAAATCTAGACTCATTCCACTTTTTAAAGAGGAATATTTAGAGTAGTATCATAAATGTAGCAGCCCAAAAGGAGAAAACATGACTAACTGTGGCCTTCTGAACTCCTCCAGCTATGATGACTGGAGGGATGACAACATGGCAGCAGAAAACTCACAAGGGTATTTCTCTTGTTGAAAGCTATTTGAATTGGGAGAAGGAACAACAGTCCAGCTGAGAGGATTATTCCAAGGTGTAGAACACATTTTAAAATTTGATGCGAAAACCAGATTTGAAAACTAAGGAAACAAGAGAGACTTGAAGCTTTGTAGCCAAGTTGAACAATCAGACAGTCTGGGAATCAAAATATAAATAAACTACTCAACGGAAAATAAACCCAATTTCTTTTTTTTCTTTTTTTCTTTTTTTTTTTACACACTTCTGGGCCACTGGATCCACTACGGTACAATGCAGAACCGGAGTAAGTCAAAATTCAAGACACAAAATCAAAATACCAATGCATTTCATTGGAATGAATTGACGGGGAAGTTTACGAGACATAAACAATGCTGTTTGGATCAGCCAAGTGCAGGAGAAGTATCATGACTATCATGTCTCACAGGGGGGGCCTGAAGAAATGTTATCCTCCGTTTCCATACTGCGTGAACCACTTTCGCCTGAATTCCAGAGCAGAGGAGGACGGGAGCAGAGGAGGACGGGAGCAGAGGACGAGGGGGGAGAGAACGCAGCGAAACGCTTAGTACCACCAGAATTATTTGGAAAAATAACAAAGCAACAATTACAAATGCCACACATCAATTACATGCAACTGTTACAGCTGTGGAGTGGAAAGACTCACTCTCACTGTGTTCTGCTTATTTTCCAGAGAAGCATTTCCTTTACAGGGTAGGTAAGGCCAACATCATCTGCACAATAAATCAAGCCAATGTAATCACGGTTTCATGTACCCTCTTGTCACCTAAGAAAAGTTATAAACAAAGATTATTAATGTGCCTCTACCCGCTATGATAGTTAACACATTGGATCTGGCTCTCATCTTGCATTGTCAGAGATGTCATACGATACTTAATCTCAGCAGCTGAAGAAACGTGGACATTCTGAATAAACTACAATAAATATACTGTGTTCGATTGTTTTTATGCTGTTCAATCAATCTTTAGTGCGTAACCTTTCATAAATATCTGTCACTTTCTGCTGCCGACTGAAAGTGAATCAGCTTTAAGTAGCTCACGAAAGCTCAAAAATGTGCTGTTTGCTAACAGCCGCTCTCAGGTATGTTTTCCCCGGGGGGTCCGTCTCACAAAGCAGGATTATGAAGTTAGCTGGATAACTGCTGAGTAAAACCTGGAAGGCCCTCAAATCTGCAACATGGACTCAAATAAAGACCTCCTCTGGGTTATGCTCAGCGCATTTGTCCAGCTGAGTCGATAATCTTGCTTTGTTTGACACGAGGACACAGGAAGTGATTGGTTTCAGCAGCAACATCTGTGGTTTGGAAAGAATACACTGAGGATAAAGAGAACGAGTCACATGACCAATGATGACCACAACGGCTAGACTAACAAAAAGCAACAACAGCAAAAAAGACAACCCAATAAAGATTTTAATACTACTGCTGTCAATGGAGGTACATTGAAAAAAGCAACAGTAGTGACCGCCACCTCACACTAAAGTTGCTGCCATATTGGAACAAACAGCACACACCTTATCATTTTAATCAAACACTTTTTGGGCTTTTAGTAAAGCATTTGTGCTGCAACCCAACGGCAGTCATGATTTAAGTGCAACTTCTGGGGAAAAAAAAAAAAAAAAAAAAAAACTCTGCACAACCTCTCGCATCTTATTTTGAGCCAAGCATATTTAACCCTACACCTTGTAAAACTAGAAATATAAGCATGTATATTAAAGCTTGAAGGTACTGAATCCTTGAGAGAAGAATGTGCCTGCACTGTCGGGCCGAGGCCCTGGTACTTCTCTTGCACTGCGACATGTGCTCTCTGGTGTCTCCTCTGAAGCCGTTTCACAATATGATGAACGCTCCAACGATGAATGTTTAACTGTGCACACAGAATGCCACAGTCAAAGGGGGACTGTTTAAAACTGCCTTCATGTGGCCCTCTCCTCTCCACTAGACCTTTACAGAAGACTTGAATTTCAATGCCTCTAAAAACCTTTTGGAGTACGCTCGTTTGCTTTCTTGCAGAGATTTAGATGAGAAGAGCGATGGCACTCTCAAATTCTTCTGTTCGATATGATGCCAGCAGCTGATTATTTTTGCTTATCATAAACACTTAAAAACAGGGGTTAACAGCTAGCCTCGCTCAGTCCGAGCGCAACAAAATCCACCTCTAACGCTCATTAATTTACGGCTTACATCTTCTTTGTTTATTTCGTCCAAAAAACTAAATGTGAAAACCAAAACTTGCTGCGTTCTTGAAGAAATCTGATATGCATTGAAGGGCTCTTTGAAGATTATTATAAAAAAAAAAAAAAAAATGCGGGGGCCTTTACTTGCCAATGCAATGAAAATTACCTTCGCAGTTTACCCCAAATGAGAACTCGTTTCATCCCATTTACGTTGTGAAATATGACGACGCTGTTTGTGTCCTCGTAGTTAAGTATTTGTACGTTGTTGTTTTGTCTACTGCACTACTATTACATGACAGTGTCTCTCACAAGCTCTTCAACATTATGTATGTTTTGTATGAAAAATAAAGTTCAGCATTGTTGTTGTTACAGGGGGTTATAGATATGAGAGTGGCATTGATTTTCTCTGTCTGTAATGTACAGTGTTTCTATTCATTTTGCAAACTGGGGAAAACTGCATTGTCAAATGCAACAAATTACCAAATAAGACAAAAAAAAATCCAGGATGAAGATCACATGAATGAAACTGTTTAGTGAGAATCAAAACATCCGTTCTAAAAGCCAACGCTGGTCACAACTTCTATACTCACCCCCCATGAAGGAACTGCACATGTTCACTGTAAGCGTTGGTAGTATGCAAACTGAAGCTAATCTGACGTCTGCAGTTCTACGGATAAGATAAAACTAAAGCTGAAGTATACAAAGTAAAATAAAAACGAGTGTCCCGTGGCCTTTTGGCCATCAAACTGCTATAGCACAACTGTGTGTACAAGCAACAACTTTTACATTAATAATATGACGGTGTTAAAAAACAACAAAAAAAAGAGTGACTGAATGTTCCGGGATGTGCCGACACACTGATACTCTAGAGACAGCCTAATGAATGCCATATTTTTCTTAGGCAACAGAGTCTTGCCAATTTAAATCACGCTTGGTTCTCTTTGAACTACATCTCAGTCATGCCAAGGCGCAATTGCAGTGGTGAATGACACAAAATCCACATTCATCTTATCAAATTGAGGTCATTAATCTGAATCTTTGGCACTACAAGAAGACTTCTTTATTAACCCTCCGAGGGCTGATGGGCAGTCATCGGTTCACTCCGTGCAGGTGAACTCAAATGCACCCAGGGCACAATATCTAGGCTTCTTAGCTGAAACACTTTTTTTCCTTCCTTAAATAAACATTGTGGGGAAACAACTGTGGCCGCAGCCAATAACCACAAACCAACATAATTATGTTAAGAATGTGTTTGGGATTTCAGGATCAAACAGGATGTCACTGAGTGCTGGTACAACGCCCAGCAGTTTTGTCACGTGATGCAGAGACGAAACCTTTCAAAGTCTACATTTGGAAAGGCTTCTCGGAGGAGACGTTCAACGATCTGGCGTTACTTTAGTTCTCGATACACTCTCCCAGATAAGGACGTACCGAAACAGATTTGCTATGAATCAAGATGATTGACAAAATGTTTGAAATGAGTTCCCTGATGAACTTGCATGACTTTGTCTCCCCGAGTAAGTAACAGTACACCTACCTATCTCGACAGCCTGTCCATCATTTAATAAATAAATGTAAGCAGTGTGGGTTTTTTTTGGGAGAGCAGAGTGTGTCTAGTTTAACTCCTTTAATAAAGGATTCAACTTTCAGCTCGTATACATCACGAAGACAGACGTTTGTCAAACTTTTTTGTTGTAAACTAAACCTATTCTATACCAAAATGAACAGATTGGCATCTAGGGAAGATGTTTGAATATTTGACTTGATTATTTTGACTTCTTTCAGTTTTCTCATTATGTCCGTGAGGTGGCCCCTCGCAATGAAGACAGATTAGGTTCCAACAACTTAATCCATAGCCTCTGACAGGAGTTTTGCTGCGAGTGGACGCTATGTCCACAGTGTCTGTGAACTGCAATAATTAAAGCCAGTGTCAAGAGTATAACAGTCCAATCCGGAGGCTTGTGGATATTTTAGATTGCTACGATCACTTAAATTCACAAAGAGATGATTAAGAGGAAGATCTACCCACGTCTCCCCAGAAATCCCTTGATTTCCACTTCATGATATAATATCTAAAAGGTTCATGGAGTTTTGTAATATCTGTCGTGAGAGACTGCAGGGAGCAGACATTTTACAACTCACATAAACATACGACTGACAGTAGATTCATCGAAAATAAATAAATCACATGCATCGTCAGGAGGAACACTAGAGGATGTTTAACAGCCTGCTCATTTCTCTTTTAAAGCTATAAGCAGCCTCAGGCAACACAATGTTTCCATGCAATGTTATAGAAAGCGCATATATGAGTTTGCACTTACATTTAAAAAAAAAAGCACCATTTAAACAACATTATTGCTCTGAATAATGAAAGAAAGTCAGTTAGAGCTACATTTTGCAATCACTTCCATGGGAACAAAACCCACTGGACTGCAGCTGATAATGTCACAATATTATTACTCAATTTCAAACATAATCCAACCTCATGAATCTCTCCTACCTGTAACACGTTGTAACTTCTCCGGTCGACTTCATGCAGGGGTACTTTGTTGTAGAAATGTTATTCTCTGAGCACTCTTCACTGCGAAACAAGAACATTTCAAAGTTTAGCATTTCCTCCACCCCCCCCCCCTTCACCTCATGCATGGGAGTCCTCGTGTCATTTTGTTGTTACACATGTCACACAGTTACCCGTGGCTGGCATCCTCTTCTTGGTAGGACCACAGCAAACCTCCCGAGAAGTACATGCAGGTGACGGCGAGCAGAAGAGGACTCCTGTGGTGCGTTAGTGTCATCTCATCGGTCCAGTCACCTGGGCGCTGACAGTAATGCACACGTGTAATGATTACCTCCACCTCACTGCTACAACTTCAGGGACTAAAGTGGTGGAGCCCAAACGTACAGACCCTCCCACTCTCTCCCCGCTCTTGCTTCTGAGTAGTTCTGAATGAACTGTCACTACGGCGGCTAACGTTAGCTTAATTAATGGTAACTTTCCCTTCTTTACCCCATCCTTCACCCCCACACAGGTGCGCGCGCATGAGCACCTGAGGCACACGCGCACACACGCGTATACGCGCGCACACACGTTTCAGTAGCGCGCTCTCTGTGCGTCATGACGTCTGCTTCTTTGCTACCACCGCGTGGCTGTTTGTGAAATAACTACTGCTCAATAAGGGATTTAATAAGTGGGATGAGTTCATCATCAATTAGATAGAATTATATGACACTTGAGTGGATGCTCATTAAACCAACACATTGAAATGCATTAGAGACATCAGCACAAATACATTTCAAGTAATTTATTTATTGCACCTCTATTTGAAGTTGTAAGCATACATTATTCATTAATTGATTTATATTAAAAAGGGGCTTACAGAATAAGAAAACACAAGTTGCATTTCTTCTGTGGCCACTGAAGGAGCTTTCTGAAGTTTAAAAGATAACCCTGATTATGTCATCATCCTTCCTGAAATGTTTAATGAAAGACTAATGTATGTTTTTGGAGCTTGATATGAGGAGTTAAAGTCAGGATAGCTCTGCCTCTGTTGCTTCAATTTTTGACCAATAACAAAAAAGTCTCAGCAAACTTCATAAAAGTGCAATACCAAATTGCTGGAGCATCCCATTCATAATTTAATTTAGAGTTACTGAATCGGATCTGATGCATTTTAAATACATGAACTCCACCAAATATTTCAAAAATAATTTTGAAAGCAACCATTTATGTTTTTGGCATGTGATGTCCAACCAGACAATATTAGGCTTTTATCTAGTTTGTTTTCTCAGCTAAACAAACACAGAATCAATTGTTTACAAGTTAGCATTATGTCAACAAAGAGAACTAAATAGTCAACGAGAAAGTGTTGTATTTACTTATATTCACCTAGACCACTGAGTCAAATCCTCCATCACAAACCAGGGCGCATCTTTTCTGTAGTTTCTATAAACAAATCAGTTTAATGTCTGTATTTGTGTCAAAGCTCTGGATTTATGATGCAAAATATCAGCTATCGTCACAAAGCAGCTCATTGAAAGAGAGTTTGTGAATTAATTGTGCACCTAGAATAAAATATCAACTACTACAGGATTGCAGGACAAACATTTACAGCCTGGAGTCCAGTGGCAAAATATGGGTTTTATTATTATGTCTAAACATTAAAACTCAAGCATTAAACCAAGACCACTAAGGAACTTGTAAAATTCAAATAAGAACTTATCATGGAAGAAGTATTCAGCTCCTCTACTTCAGTAAAGGAGCAATAATACAGCATTAAATAGCTCTATTACAAGTATTATCAACAAAATGTACCTAAAACTATATCAAAAGTGGAAAAAAACATATTGAGACAGATCAGACTCATCAGCGTTTTACAATTGTTCATTACTGTTGGCTCAGCAATGATGTATTAATATATGAGCAGCACTGAGATTCATATGCTCATTTTGGGTTTTAAACTCTGCTATCAGTACTTGTCAGATAAAAGTATGGAAATAAAAAGTACAATATTTCCCTTTAAAACACGAGTGTATGACGAAGCATACAATTCAAATACTCAAATAAATTAACAGTAGTTATTACTGTTAATTAGTAGAATTGCACTTAAGCATTTACTCAGTACCACTGGATTCCAATCAGCACTATATATAACATGAAGCATGTCAACCATGGCCATCAGCAGGAATGCATTTCATGCTCCAGGCTCACCTCACTATCTTCACTCTTTGGGTCAAGTGATTCAAAGGGAGTTGATGACACGATGGTGACTTTAATTCCTCATGACCCTGACCCCTACCAGCAGGCCCGATCTGAGCACAAACGCTGGCCACCGCCATCTGCAGAACCCAAGAGGTCTTCAGTTTCTCAGGAATGCAGTGTGGCATTACAGGGAGTTGGATAGCGGGGCTACTGAGGAGCCTGTAAGGGATATCCCAGTGAAAAGAGAGGACTGCGGTGTCACATACAGCCACTATGTGGGAGCTTTTCAATCCGTGAGGTCAGTCAGGTATGATTTCCTTTATTCAGAATATGACATTAGTCAGAATGTCTGTTCAGGTGAAACGTAATACAATAGTTCCTATTACGATCATGTGGTTTTTTTCCCAATTGAAAGGGAACCGTGCCTTTTACAGTATCAATGAGCAGAAAAATAGCACCTTGAGTCTGCTTCAAAGGGCCTGCTCAAGCATGCCCACTTCAGTTCAAGGGAAAGCAGTGGTCCACCTGCTTCATTACAACAGAGCCTCGATGGCTCACCAACCGTCTGACGGTGCAGTTCAATTTCCCACCACTTGATGGCCCTTTCAACCAAGAGATCCCACCCCCACTCCTCTTTCGCCACTATCGTCATCATTGCCCACAAAATGGATGACAGCTTTTAGAAATACCAGGGTGCGTCACGACTCTGAGGTGCACATGCTGTGCCATTTATGTTCCACCTGTTTTGATGCCTCAGCAGCCCCGAGAGGCAGAGAATGATCATGTCTGCAACAGCACAAGTAGCCAATTAATGTTGCAGCCTGATACTGAATCAAAGATACAGGTCCAATAACCTCACTATAATGTTTGGCAACATCCTCTGCCTTAGAGATATGAAATAATTATCTGTGACTTTTTTGCAATGCAGAACAACAAAGGAAGCATTACCCTTTAGTCTGTTTATGTACTTTATTGTCTCTTTCAAATAAACTACTTTTATTGTGTTGTTTTGGTTTCTGAGTTTAGTTAAAGCTGGTTTGCCGGGACTTTTGGCATCCTTGCTTTAATCAGTCCTCTCTCTCGGTTTGTGTTCATCTCGTTGCCACATTCCAAACTTACATTTTGAGATTATCTCACTATATATTTCCTGTTCTCACTGTTTACCAAATCACCATCAGTTTTTTATGTCTGAGCTGGGTTTTTCCTCAGCAGGAAAGATGATTTGGAGCACAGGTGGACTGTTTTTTCCTCCCAGTTAACAGTGCCACATAGGTAAAACTCTTATTCATACTGCTTCAACGGGGAAAGAATCCATACCTCAAAGAGAACAAATGGACTAAAGATTAAATAGATTAAATCAGAGCAAAGCAAAGTGATCCAGGGAGAAAGGAAACAGTTGGAAGAGTTTATGTGGGAACAAACAGACAGGAAAGACTAAAAGCGTTTGTGATGGAACTTGTTCCCCTTGATTGAGGAGCTGTCCTTGAGATGTAAGCGGCTGTAACGGCCTGAGTTGAACTGGAGAAAGGTGGAGCAGAACTACACTGCTAATCCAAGGTTTAAAGGTTGCATTGCACCAAATGGACTTGGTTTGGTGGTTTGGCAAGACAAAATCTGAAAAGAAAGAAGTTATAGCACGCAGACAAGCTGTCCAATGAGAGTATGTGCTGAGAAAAACCTATACATTGACATTAGCATTAAACTTCTCGTGCTTAATGGTTGCTTCATAATGCGGGGCTGCAGCAGTGGACTATACACACACCTCTTATCCTCTAAATGCTCTCAACACATGGGATAACAACGACAAAATATTGCAGGGCACGAGCACCCCACTGTCAAAACTCCTCTCTCTCTCTCTCTCTGTCTTTCTCTCTTTTCACAGTGCAGCACTGCAGTGCCTCTCTGCACATGCCCAGACTGACTGGGAGAGAGCCACAGCAAGTTTGAGCGCACTAGAAATATTAACAGGCTGCCTCACAGACACATTCATGTAGTCCTGCAAGCTGGGTTTGCATCGTGAACAAAAAGTCTCATTTCACACAACTGGAAATGAATCCCTCAACATTTTGAAAGGTTAATATGCATCGACGGGGACACATTTTGCTGTTACAAGAATTAAACCTGTGACTTCCTCTTTATAGAGATTTATTTTGTCTCAAGGTCACTCTGCCTCCCACAAGCTTTTTATGCAAGCTGTTATATAGTCGGTGCAGCTTTAATATACAGTCTCACAGTACCTCTCTATATTGTCTGTTTCGTTCATTACAGTCATTTATTTTTACTACAATGCTTTAGCTTAATACTATATTTAACTACCTTTATAGTAATACTCTCTTTGCTAAGTATTTCCAGTTTAAATCTCAGCATGATTTCTTTATGTATATATATTAAACAATTAATAAATTGTTATAATAATGCCATAGCAAGCTACATCAAACCATTACTAATTCAATCAGAGAATAAATATTGCCAGTTGTCTAATTTTCAAACCGAGCGGTGGCTTAGTAACTTTGATGGTCAGACTTCTCACTTTTAGTGAGTACATCTTGGTGGTTGCATATTTTACTCTATTCTGCCTCTCTGCCATGGCAATAGACCATTATTCATTTTGCTTGTTGAAACAGAAATAGACCAATGATGCAGTCAGGGAGGATACAAAGATGTGATTCATAACTCACCAAAAGGCTTAATGAATGGGAGAATAGCAGAAGAAAGGGGAGCTCAAGTTAAAATAAAATAAAGGAGATGCTGGGTGTGTTGTTTGGGCTTGAAAATCATGGGAATATGTATCTTTTTTGCACTATTTTAAGATGCTTTTGCTGCATCGAACATAATGGAGTGGAGGCCAGGTAGTGGAGTCTGCATATGGTCTTAAAGGTTAGGTTCACATATTTCTAAGTCAGTCTTAAAACAACATTCACAAGCACAAATAAACTGTTGGTTGCTGTTATACTGTTCCTCCTCTCCATACTGACCATGAAGAGATCCCTTCCCAATGCAATTTCAAAATAAGATGGCGGATACTTCAATTCACAATCAAACCCAAAGTAAAAGCTGTTAAGTCCATTATTAGTTAATTTTTGGAGGGTTTCCAATCATTTTCAAGTAAGCCAGTCAGGAAAGCAAAGCAGAGCGAGCACAGCCATCATCACTTTGGCTCTCACTCCTCCACTATTGTGGCAGCAGGTTAATACAGAGTTTTCTTCCTGACGTGTCAGTGAGAGCATCACTGTGACTCTATCTCTCTCTTCAAATGCACCAGCTGTTCAAAGGTTCACTGGTGACTCACATAAGGTGTAATGT